ATATATATATATATATATGTATGGTAGTAAGTGACATCTGTAGACGAAGGCTCATGCTGGCCGTTCTATGAATATTGTTATAGAGTGATGAGCAGTGTTGAGTGAAGAAGTCAATCATTTGGTTATTCATCATAAATCAAGAGAACGATTCGTTCTGAAGTGTCGTTTTATTTTAGTGGTCCGAGGATTGCTGGTTGAGGTACTATTTCTAGAGATAGGCGAATGCTTTCAAAAACTATCAATTCATGTTTTTATTTGCTCTTCTCAACTCGAACGGCCAATACTCATTTTATTTTCTTATCATTTTGATGAGAAAATGTGTTTCTGTTTCATTTCTGAACTCTTTCAATAGTTTTCTGCCAAGATCATAAACTCAGCGATAATTAAGAGAAACCGAGCTTATCTTTCGAACATACTTCTCTTCCGCAAGTCTCAAAAAATCAAATATGCTGAAGTGTGGATCAAAAAGATTAAGTTCAGATTTAACAAATCTTTGGAATTGTTACCGTTCGTCCATTCAGCTATATTAAATACTCAAAAAGTACCCAAAAGTAATGCATTAATTATGACAGCTTAATTAAACCATAATAGAGTCAGTCAGCAATCATCATCAACCACGTTGAGTAATAATTATTAATCAACATAGGCACATAAAAGTTTGAAAATTTTGATCATGTGATTAGGTGACAATGAAGTGGGATTTGAAAGGAGCGATGTTTATGTAACAGATATGATTATCGTTTCTGAATGCATAAATCCGAACTTAGCTACAATGACCATACTCATGCCCATATATACGAATGTGAATAAATTTGTGGATGATTAAATCATCAAATCAACAAACAGTTTTGTTTGATGAGCATTTAAATGCGTTGAATAAGAGACAAATGAACCAAATCTCGTTATAAACACTACCAATCAGAAACTTTGCTTGGTTAGTTCATTGTCTAGTAGTAGTTTCACTCATTTAGTCAATCGCTTCGTTTATTCAGCTGGCTTAATCATTCTTCTGATTGTGATTGCGCAAATACGTATCTCATATCCATATCTTTTCATTTCATCCTATTTCAATTCACACTTCATACTCAATACTCATTATTGCAACTGATCATTTTTTGTTAATACGTAGCCTCTTGTTTCTTTTGAACCAATCTGTAATAGTCCATCAATCTTTTCGATCGTCTAAAGCGTGAATCCGAAAACTGGAAATGATAACGAAGAAAGTGGAGCATTGGTTATGCAGTTGAGGTTATTTATTTAATAGTGAAAGGATTTACAATATCAATGTGAAATCGATGTGTTACATCAGTAATCACTGAGATCAGCAATTGATACGTGATGAAAAAGGTTTGTTTCTCAACGGGTGATGGATAATGAATAAAATGTTGAACTGGAATGAATAACTTAATTCTGACATGATGAGATGAGCTTGCGTGTAATGTGGTACATGTGATGGATTGATAGGTATGCATAATAAATAGCAATATTTTAGATAAGTTATGTTTATTGTTGCAAATCGTTCGTGACAATAACTTTATCAATTCATGATCATCTGCACATTGATCGTCATTCGATAATGACGCATGTCTTATTTCTATTCATACAATTGATAAATTTGGTACAAACACTTTATCATATCACTCCGGAAAGGCCAATAAGTTTAATGATGGAAATATGCTCCCATGAGCGAAAACCTCTCACCGATAACACCATGCTTGTTCGTTGATTTTATTCATTTCTTCATCATTGCTTTCATCCAATCATTATAGTTCAGTAATACCACTTTGAAAATGAATGAAAAAAGGATTGTTTTATATTACAAGATTATTCTTACATTGAATTCATACGCAGTGTGTGATTCCTTCAATGTAGGCATTGTTGAATGCTATTTTAGTTCTTTCCTGAAAAAGTAAAATTTTGCGCAACATTCTATACGTCGAAACGCAAGGGACATTACGAGAAGGACGTCAAACGGACAGCTAATTTGCATTCGTTGGTGAAAATCGCATGGAATGATATCCATAGCAATGAAACGTGCACTCTCTTCTATAAGTTTCGTTTTTGTTTGTCAAATGATATTACTCCATTTTTGTTTTGGAGAAGATGAAAGTTTAGAACTTAAAACACTGCTGTATTTCAATCATGTCGCTGATAAGAAACCTATAGGTTACGTGAAAGAAATGTGAACACTGGTAAATGACGCTTGATTTACGAGAACGCTCAATGATTTCCATTAAAACAATTCGAATAATTCTGTTGATTCAACTCACATATTTGTAAGCGAAAGTAAGACGGTAAAGAAGCGATTGAAAAATAGTTATGATAGTTCACTTTAACATCATTGCAGTATTGTTTGCTGTATTAAGATGAAGCTTTAAGCTGATCAGATAAACAGTTAGAAACTTGTTGGAGTGATGAAAAAGCGATCTGCGCTTTGATCGACTTCCCAAACTTTTCAAATCATCATTATTTCTTTATAGGGCTATAACAACGAATATCGTATAGCGCCCGATCTTGGTTATTATATGGGATGTCAGAAAGCAATTTCGTTGTATATCTCTCAATTGGCTGCTGGGAAGGTACCCACTTGGGACGAAAAAAACCAGAACTGCCCACTTCATCAATTACCGAATACGTATAAGGTGACTTTCAGCTCGCTTCTGTTCCATTATATCGTTATGCAAAATTAATCAATTGCTTTTGAGCATGCATGGAATCATACCGTTGCAGAACTATTTGGCATGTGACTTCGTACGTGGTCGATGGTATTCAATGTCATTCGAGAGTTCAATTCGTTACGAACTCTATCATAATAAAGCCTATCGACAATTCTGGTCAAATCATTCAAGTATCTATCTGATAAAGCCCGACTATTTGCTACAAAGGAATGGCACTGAAGTTGACTGGCTTGCTAGTTTGCTAACATTTAGGATACGGTAATCATTTTTCTTTTGAGCAATACCGATTGGATGTTTCGCATCTGAATGAAAGCGATCGCATGAAATGGATATTAGTATATTCGCACTTCTCAAGCTTTTCGTGAATTGCAAATGTACTGTGTAAGTTTGAGTAGAATAAAAAATGAACAGTATGAATACCAAATACATTAATGTACACGACCAATTTGAATTAAATTGATCTTGTATTGATGAGTTTATTTGGACAACGCAATTGCGTAGCCAGAAGGAATGGAAGAGGGATGAAAGATGAAATAAACAAATTACTTGCTTGCTTCAAAAAGAGGAAGCTACTTTTTTGCTTTCAGTCTCTTGAGTTGTAATAAAGCGGAATACTTGGTGAATGTTGATGAAGAATGGAATAAGCCATTGGAAATGGTGATGTATTATCGATTAAGGAACGAGGATCATATTCATTATACATCGTTAATTGCGAACAAAACACTCAGTAGATGGTCGTCGTCCATTTTTGCAGTTACTCCTTCGATAGATACACAGGAATTGTGCATTGAGGTGAGCGAGTCAAATGACGACTTTGATTCAAAATCGAATCAATAATACTCCGAACTTTTATCGATTCATCTCACGAAGTTCAACTATTGGATTTGTCCCTGATGATTTTCGAATGCGCCAAATGTCCTGAGAGTGCGGAATATTCTTTAAACATAAATTGGTTTTAGTTTCTGATAAATAACTGATTCATTACAGTGATGGATGCATTCACTGATTTAATGCATGCAAATGCAAGTGAACTTGTCGATTAAGGCCAAACATAGCCTTTCTTCAAAATTTACTAATAACAGCAGCACCACTGTTACGTGTGCTGAGTGTTTAGCGACTTGCATAGAAGTGATACAGTCAGTTCGCTTATATTAGTTTCATGACATATTAATTGACTCAACTTATTGCGATTGCCGACAATAACTCATTTTCGCATATTTAAATTGCCTGATTCAGCGAGCGAATTTACAGAAAATTTTCAAAGGTGACCCTATCGAGTTCAATACGATCTGTTTATAGTTGTTCTTTTGATCGATAAGCGATGAACAAGCGAAAATCGTTCCATAGCTTGTCGTAAAACTTTAGTGTCCATAAAATTGCTAAGAAGAGTACCGACATTCAATAATCGATGACGAAAGGATTAATAATCGTGTTATAAATTTTATAGTTATATAGACTCATAAAAACTAACGAAATGAATACTTGTAGATAAAAGCCAAACGAAAACAATTTTTCAAAATATTTGTGGATTGATGAGAGTTTCCATCAAGATTCTTCTGAATTCCGTTAAATGAATGAACCAAAATCCATTTTTCATAGAGCGCCTCCAAAATATTTTCAGTGAAATCAGTATGGCTAAAAAGTATAAATATATCATGAGAGTTCGCGGACAACTTCTTCAGCTCATGAACCACACCTATTTTTAAAAAATATACTAGAGATTCAGAGCATAAACTCGTGAAAATATGATAGATAACTTCGCCTAACCCTTTTGACTTTGTTCTCATTGATTTTAAAATTCACGAATACTGATGATTGATGTATGAGAACGGTGACTTCTCGTTATTTGCAGTCAATCAGCAATAATTATTCGTAAGGATGACGTTAACATGTAATAAAAGTGCATTTGCTGAAAATATTCTGAGGCATCATTAAGATCGGAGGAATGCCTCAATAATCAGACCAGTTAACTTGATTCAACAAACACTAATTTTTTTCAATCAAACAATAGGTCAATTTGCATGAAAATGACTGAAGTTAATGGCGCTGAATGTGCATGAATTTTCATCATTATCAGAAAGTGGTTGTTAACATTCAGTACATGATCATACGACAGTGTTTTCAGATAAGTTGGGATGCATCTGAGAGCAACACACTTTCACAGTGTGTTTCCTTTAGTATTGATAACTCGTGTTTTCAACAGGATTCAGCGATGCTTTCCAACGTGGATTCTTCAAAGCTCTCTTTTATTTGTTTTTTTATCATTATCTATTATTGGTACAAATTTTTTGCTACCTAACTCTCCTCTTAAGTGATTGTATGACCATTGCACTCATCTGCTACGGATACTATGATTGAAATGGTTCACTGAATTGGAACAGATAGAATTTGCAGTCATTTAAAAACTATGACTAATTTCTTAAATCTTTTCACTTTTCATCATGAAGCAACCATCTTTGATCTGTTTGAAATGTTTTGACAACATTTCCAAACTATTTTTTGAGTAGCATTTATAACCAAACAGTAAACATTTAACTTTGCAATTATTCATTCCTTACTGATTGCATTTGCATTTGTTATGTTAGTTCCCTTGACGGATTACGTTTTCCCTTACTAACTAATATCAATAATCATTCAAAATCAAACAAAAATTAATCCATCCATTCATTGAGATTCTTGCAATTGTTCAATAAGTTCATGAAATACTAAAACGTTCAATTGACAGTATGAGATGATCATTTAAAAGTTTCAGTGCTGCTTTTGTGTGGCATTATCAAACAATATCTGATATGTATGTTGATTACATGAAACAATGCTGAAGTATCAGGTATTGCAAGTTAACTGTTTCGCTTTTTGATGATGTGAATTTTATTCAACTGCAATGATTTTTCGCTGGAATTCAAAGTTTGTTTTTAATGCATATTTCGACATATATGCATACCACTTGTTGTGGACTGGTATAAGTATCGCTTTTGTAAATTGAGACTGCATGTAATCTCATGAATGTCATGCGGTTGGCTAAAATACTACGTTAATGTGTGCTAAAATAAAATATTAAAATCAAATTTGTTCATTGTAAGGAATATCATACAATAAATGTGTTGTCATCATCGTTATTCCTAACAACAATCGGTATTCAACGGGAAATAACTTTTATTGAATCTGTAATCATTTTATCATGTACTCATAATAATGGCTTTGCTAACAACATATTAGTATTGTTTCAATTGCTGATAATTCTGCTAAGCAAATTCACTGACAGTGAAATGAACACCCACCCTTCTCACATCGGATGTAACGCATACATTTAAACGTTCCTCGCCTCTAAATAACGACTTACAAACATAACGTTTGTCTGCGTGCACCATCCCATTCAGAATACGTAAACAAGTGCATACGCGCACCACTTTTCAGCATTATGCAAATTAGTCGTCAATTTGACACTGTACTCTTTTGAGCAGCAACAAGCATCAAATTTGTTGCATTCAATTCATTTTGCTCGACGGATTGATTACCTTTTCCAAATTGTTTGCATTCATACAGTTCACTCGAAATGGTTGTTAAAATAACTGAACAATAATCATCAGAGAAACAAAAAATACCTCTGCTGCTCATTAATTCACCTAATACTTGTGTGATTTCGTATCAGTTGATGGTACGGTGATTTTGAATCAAACTTATCATTTACGAAATTAATTATAATCAACCCGAAACAATAAATTATAACAGCTGATTCTGAAAGATGTGTATTTTCCAATACAGATTATTCTTGAGCAACAAAAATGTTTGATATAAAAAACCACCAGCTAAATGAGTGTTCGATTTTTGGGTTGTTATTGTGACTAGTTGCGTGTGTTGGTTTGTTATTTCACAAAGAAAAGAAAATCCTTCTAAACGGGATGAATGCAAAGTGACATCGACATCGGAATTGCCACCAAAACTGACAATGAGTTTGTGGGTGGCCGATTCAAAAGAGTAAGAAGAAATGGCTGAGCCAGTGATTTGAATAATATGGTTTTTCGGTGGGGCCGAGCAAAGCTGAGCTACACATGTGAATGATGCCGGTCGACTGATTTGGGATGAGAAGAGCAATATAATGAATATGAGCAGAATTACATTCCAAACAACGGCAGGTGCGCAAGTGAATGCGAATAAATAAATGAATAAATCAAATAACGAGAAGATCGATAGCCGTAATTGAAGATGTAATCAGCATCGACCGATAACTCTTAACAATTTATTGCAGTTTAATCTCGAATCATTGCGAATTCACTCGGCTTATTTATTTACTCACTGTTTGATGCATATGTCAACTTATGTTCGTTCTCATTATCTATAGTTTATCATCTTTAACATTAGCGAGATTTGATGACTATTACTCATATGCCATTCTAAATGCTACTGTCCAACCATTTCTTAGTGTTTCTACGCCATTTTGAATGATGACACAAATGCTAGTACTGAATACTACTAATAAGAATGGCATCATCGATAATGCTATTACTAATACTAATATAAAAATAACGGTGCTGCATGCACACACTCGACTGATTCGTCGGCGGCTCACTTTAATTTTCTTTCGGAAACATTTAATTAATAGTTGATCATATCAGTATTACTCATGCAGATTATTCATTCATACTAAAACTCTCATTCGACAAACAATCGATGAACACTGTTCACCTCAGAACAGATTATTGAGTATAAGAATTTCATCTTATTATAGTACAAACGATTACGGACGATATTTTGAATAAAAACTTTTATTGCATAAATATAATAACACAGCATAACTTAATAATACATGACATAACACATAATATCGTCAATCGGTATAATTAAAGCACATCTCTTAGGCATTTCTTACAGATCTGTCTTATCGTTAGCAATCCTCTATATTTCTGATTAAAGTTTGTTTAAACCTTAATGAAACGCAACTAATCACCACTCAAATGAATGAACGCAGTCGAGTTGAATGAAATTACATCAAATAACTCGCAAAAAATAAACTGTTTTGAATGTAGTTCACGCTAAACAACAGTCAGAAACAAACATGCATCACGAAGAAGTCAGATGATCGTTCAAAGAAACAGAATGGTTTTCTTTGCTCGATTATTTAGTTTCGAATAAATCCTAATTAAAAGTTAAGAAGCAGTGATGGAGTTCCTTTTCGTAACACTTTCTACCATAGACCATTTATCACCGCCACTATCATAATCATATCAAATCAAAAGGAATTAGATTATGGCATCGGTCAAATGACGATCTAGTGGGTAGTGCCTTACGCGGTTGGTTGAAGCTGAAGCTGCGATGAGGCATCTTCAAAACGTGAAAAGTGCAGCTCAATCGTTAGGTGAATGTGAAATTAGCATGTGCACGAAAAAAGATCAAAGAGAATGCCGCTACCATCTTGTATGTTATCTCTATTTGTATCCCCTTCTCTTCCGCACTTCACACCGCTCACGAACTGCACCACCCGTATTATTCATTCGCACAATATTTATTATACATTCGAAGACCGACACATCAATCAACACCCAATATAATACAAATACACAATTTATCGATGAAAAAGCAGATTGACAATTACAGTACTGTTACTAGTGATATTATCACCATTATTATTGTTATCTTTGTTATTCATATCAAAAACATATAAACACTTTTCAAAATAAAACATCGCAATCCACATTCCATCACATCAAAAAACATTGAAGCCTCTGAAATGCAATGAAGCATAATGCCTTTCTCTTCTACTTCGTCTTCCTGTTAGCAAATTAGCACTACTGCATATCAAACGGTGACACCAAAACTGAGAATATGCTTGCATGTATCAGAGTGGTTCTTACTTTTGAATTTCATAGTTCCCACGTGTCGCTCTTCAAAAAACAGCGTGCTGCGATGGAAATAAGCAATATAAATTTCAGCAGTGAAAAAATATTTCTCAAATATAACCCTATCCACTTATTACTCTACCGAAATGCCGAGGAACGCAGTACTGGTAGAGCGATCTTTCAAACTGCTCTATTCTCGACAATCTTCTTCAAAGGTTATTTTTCACCAAAGAGGCATTCTCTTTGTGAAATACAACTCATGCAATTCGAAGTTTGCACACTGCGGCACCTCAGGCGACAAAACAGTCGGTGTGCACTTTTCAAATGGAACCTCTTCAGATCAAAGGCAGGTTTTTCTTGAGGAATACAATCAGGATTTTTTGGAAAAGGTTCTTGATGAACCTACACAATTAGAAAATGAAACGAATGAATAAACATTTATAATTTTGCGAAAATATCAAAGGCAGAGTGAATCAGGAACTTTCCCTGATACTTACGTCAGGAAACATTTGGATTGCACTGCTAACTCACTAGTCAGGTTCGCCAATGATACAGCATTCAAGCATCGTTGATATGCCACGACCATCCATCAGATTAAATTAGATGTTAATGAATGCGGTATAGGTATAAGAATAAGAATAACAATAGCAAAAATAAAACTGGTGGACAATGGAATCGTGGAAGTGCAGTGCATTAGCGATTCGTTATTTACATGATATTTTGCGATGAATGAGTTAGTTTGTTATATATCTGCTACGTGCACTTCGAAATGACCATTATTTAGAATGCGAGCGACGATGATAATATTGGAGAAAACAGATCAGTACAATGATAGAAAAACTATAACATGAATATTCAGGCGCAGTACGAAGCGATTAACAAATACACATGGAGCATGCTTACAACAAATGAAATATTCAAACGAAGCAGTTCATAATAAAAATAGTAGTGATATTAGACAATCATAATCGAAATATTTACTGACGTACAGATCTGAACAATAAAATAATATGGCTATACACAAACACGGTTCACGATTGTTGGATATTCTGTTTTAAATTAGCTGTTCCAATCGATTGTAACGATGACCGCTTTTCCAAATTTTTTGCTCATTGGTTAATTTCAATTAAACGGTTCAATTGAAAAAAAGTTCACTTAGCTTATTTGATCTTCGATGTATTGACTTATAAATAAAGCAGCAAATGAATCTTGAATATTATTATATTATGGCATATAGGATGACTGTTGTTTCGTTGTGTATTAGCCATTGAATAAGAGATAATAAAAGCATACTTTAAATAAATGCTTTTGTCATGGATCATTATTGTACAGTTAACTGATTGCTCGACTGTTCGAATAAGACAACGATGATCAGTAGGGATCGAGGTAGATCGTTTGATGTGCGTAATGCGTAAAGGTTTCTGATATGATGGATATAAACGCACTTCAGACGATTTTCGATTGTTTCCATGCAGCAGAAGCAGAAGGTTGAATATTGACGACATGGTTGGTGGTTGCGTTGTTGGTGTTTGGTAGTGATGACTTAGCATTGGTGATTGGTATATAACTGTGCGGTGGAGGTGGAGGATTAACAGACGGTATTAAAGGTCTGTTGACTGCAGCAAGGGGTATTGAGGCTGTACCATGTTTGGCAGGTGCCGTCGAACACAATCCACAACACAGCACTCGTTGCCAAGAATGGAATGTCTTCGACGACAGAATCCACATTCCTGTTGAAATACCAACTGCCAAAGACATGAAGATATTCAGTACGTACAATTCGGCCTTAAACATTATTTCTTATTCATTTAACTAATCAACAAGCACAACAGATACACTGCAATTTATCGACAGCAATGAAACTGCGAGTTTGCCGAGTAAGTTACTTCACAACTGCTCCAAAACTGTTGATTGATAACATGTATAAGTTTATCGGAATTTAGTTTATTGGGCATTAAATGACTAGATAAACAAAGTGATTAAGCTGTCACATCTCCAGTCAGTATAGTTTCAATAATAATTTGTAATAATCAAAAATATTATATCATGTTCCCACTAATATGTGAATTTCAGATTAATTTATATTATTTTGAAAAGATCTATTTATTTTAAAGATTACTCATTCACGTTCAATAACAGTGCTATATGTGTTCAGTTCAACGTCTCTGTAGGAGCCTTCTAACCGAGAACGCACAAATGTTTCTAGATAACTATTTACGTATCAAAAGATTTCTACTATACACCGACACATCATTCAATACGAACTGACTACTTGCCTGTGGAAGTTGTGGCCTCTTACAAACACCTTTCTCAGCACCACCATAATGTTTGCAAGCGATCGTTGTGGGATGCCACTGCATCAAAACGAACATATGATAACTATCACAGACGACCATCGTTATGGCAGGAATTATATAAAGTGCACTGAATATTCCCATTTTTACCATCAGCTTTTCCAGTTTTGATGTATCAGTTCCCTAAAAAAAACAACCATCTATCTCCTTTTTGCATTCTTATACAACTCACATCACACTGTCATTGCAGTGAACACTCAGCAGTGTTGTGATCAATGAAACAGCGTAGAAATGGAACATTCTTGGTTCAACAGTAGTTGTTTATATTAGATATGTGTATATTCTGTAGAAGATTTGAAATAAGCAACCATAGCTCATAAAAATTTATTTCTTGTGATAAGACTTAAGAAACTCGATAGTAAAAGACGGCCTTATCATTTGAAAATTAACAACATCAAAGCAAACAATCTCGCAGCACCGCTGACAAACAATGTCCGATAACTATCAAAGAATCATAAAATCTAAACCTAGAAAGCACTCATGACAACGAAAAAAATTTTCATCTACCAAAATCCTCATTCTAAATATTGCTTTCCTGATCTCATTCATTTGTAATAATTCTAATCGATACGAGTCAGTCATTCAAAATCATTTGGTGAAATTTTATGCTCGATATTACTGAAGATCGATTTATGCTCTACACAAAAAGCATCACGCATTGCTAGTAAATGATGCAGAAAATGATATCACTAACCCTTCGTCGAAATGAATCACGTTCACGGCACATACTCGAGAAACCAGCAACGATCAAACAACTGCCAAGAAGAACGAAAAGTAACTTCGGTAAAATGACAAAACCGAGTAACGACCACGGATCTGCATTACCCACTGAACACACTCCGGTTAGTTCAGATGCATCCAACTAAAATATTTGCATTTCAATATTGAATGAACAAAACAAGAAAGTTTTTAGCAAATGGAAGAAACGATTATGAATTGAAATGTTACCACCATAAAACACATAAACTAACTGAGAGGGTGTTTACATGATAAACGGGTTGATCACAAACACATTCAAATGCATTTAGATAAATGATGCAAAATGATTTAGGATTTACTTTTACTGCATACACCAAAATGAGTATTGCTCCGGTTTCAATATTTGAAAAATATTCGCAGTGATTTCAGCCAAAATACAATTTCGCTCAATTTGAAAAGTTATGTGTTATGGACTGATCCTTTAAGGTGAAAAATTAATGTTGCTGTATGAAATACGGAGTCAGATGGACAGCAGAAGACGTCTGAAACGGGAATATGGGGTGTTAGTGTATGAATCTTAACTTAATCAGCTAACAGAACAAACCTTGTGCAATGTTAAAACCGCAATAGTTAATAATGCAGGCAACGCCCACGCAACTAAATGCAAATAACTGCTCCATGCATCAATTCCTTCAGGTACCCACTTACGTGCAGCCGACAAATACCTTAAACTCATAAAACATATGAATGTGCACGATTCTCTCCCATTCACAATCAGTCAACTTCATCTATTTCAATAATGAATAGCAGCAATTATCAAAAATCCTGACTTGAAATCTTTTTATTGGACATGCGCCTCGGCATGCTTCATTACTTCAAACTCTACATCTGCAATGCTAGGAATAAAATTTATACAAAAAGTTTATGCGAATTTATACGAAAAGTTTTCAAATTGCGAGCATCAATTAGAGAACGTGCAGTCTTAGTGAATGCTGCTCTCAGTTAGCAACACGTTTGCCTCTTCACGACCATATTATTGCTGCTACAGCTCACTTCTGTTCCATTCGCTATCAATAGCGATAGTCTTTATTCTAAACCGGTGGTTCTTATGCTCAAACGCTCTATTCGCCCCCTCAATGGTCTGGCAAGCCACCGTGCGCTTCTTACAAAAATTCGTTATTTGAATGCGTCACATCAGTAAACCGATCTGGGACTTCATCGATGGTGTGAGTAATGCACATTGATTAGTAATCAACCAGGCTTAGATACAAAATAAGAATACTCAGCAAATGAGAGAGGAAAGAAAGCAGTGTCACGAGTGAACTGCATTTGGTTACCTAGGTGAAAAAACACCACCACAGTGGCATTTCATCATACCATAACAACTCCGGGAAATATGGGCTTGCCGAACCCTTTAATTCACTATTCGATACCCCACATTCACCAACGTAAGTGAAGTTCACCTCCCATGAGAACCATTGTTCTGAACCAATGTTCTTGCTACAATTCAACTTAATAGCAAAGACTCGTCAAGAAAAAAACCATCACAAGCTAGATTGCTAATTTCGAACTAATATCTTCATCATGTGGTCGTTTGGATAAATAGAAACTCAAAAAAGTTTTTTTTTAGGAAATGGGAGCAGTTTCGAATACGGTTGGTATTGGTTTATATGAGATAAACGAGGATAATGAAGTGAACGAAACGAAATAATCGTTTAACGTTTAATTTGTTAAATTCGTAAAAAGTATATGGCATTCCATAAAGCATTCAGCAAATTTACAGTGAATGTGACTCGGCAACACTGTAGCTGAATGTGATTTGAACGGAACCGAATGCAAAGATTTTTTAGAGAAGCATCAAAATATCCCGAGTTCATCTTATAACTAAATCACTCATAGGCAACTACTTTCAACTCAGCCAAAATTATCACTTTTACATTAAATATATTTATACAATCATATCTATTTTATTCATTCATTCATTTGCTTATCTAGTTATATAGCGTATCTGCAATTAATTTTACCGTTACGTCTGAATCATCCATCTCTGAAGCAAACATTCATCATTACGTGCACCAAGCTCATTTGTTTGCAGTGTTCGGTCTGCGCAATCGAATCGCTAAGAAGGTGCTGGCCATCTTCGATGTTCATTCCACTCTATCAGTTTAGACATCAGCTCATAACGAACACAACATGTGCTAACGAAATGTAATGGAAAATAATTGAGTATAAAAGATCAGAATGAAACGAAGTAAAAACTATAACAAAAAGAAAATAAAAAGAGAACTTTGATGGGATGGATAAACTTGTGAAGGAATAATGATGGCATTTGCATTGTTTATGTGCTTACTGCTTCTTACCATAAGATATCATATTATTTATTATCCATTTCCTTTTTATTGTTCACCACTAAAATATGGAACAAATACATTTTTCTTTGCAAATCTCTCGATATGTTGATGGAAATGATGAGTATAATAAATTACCCAACTAAATTATGAATTCATCGAATTTGTTCTTGAATGAGCTTATTTGTTATAATGATTTATTGCAAATAACTATGTGAGTGCTTTCTTTTCAAACTTTGCACTACATTATCGATGAAAAGTGATAGACAATAATCTTACTGTTGTTTGTTTGCAAAGAGGAACATTTTTTTTACTTTTCTCGGAATGCTATAATGCTGAAAGACGAGAAGTTGTTGATAATAGAATATCTAGGATGGAATCGAATAATCGGATAGCAGTGTCCAATAAATGAATGCTAATAAGATGAGATGTACTATCATCATCGCATGCGACTTCATCACACAAAATCGAATCATCGCATTCTAAACACAAACTAATTAGCGAACCAATCCATTCTGCAATTGATTTCAGTTCTTTCGCTCATTTCTCCATACTAAATACGTACTCTCACATTGAGATAGATCATAATCAAATCATCCTCTGAGACATGGCTATTGGTATCTTTATACCATCCCTTTAAAGCTGCCGTTTTTGATTCAGTTGTCAAAAATGAATGAATTTATGCAGCATGAATGAACCGCTCATAAGAAATCATCCAAAAATCATTTCAGTCAGTGAATTTTTCTCGTTTAGTATTAACCATTATTATGCAGTTAATTTCAGTTGTCATACTAATTTATAAGATGAACCTCATTTTGGGAGAGAAGAAGCTGGTTATTTTCGAGAAAAAATACAGTTTTGATGGAAGGAGAAATGAATAAATACATGAATGAATAAGAGAAGATGGCAATTATTGATAACGATATTGTTGAAAATTAATATAGTGAATAAAGTTTTGAGGGCAGTGCAAAGTGGAAGAAATGTAGAATGTTGATCATTGAGAGCGGTTCATTCAGGACGGGAGGATAAATGAAGAAATTGACGATGAGTTAAGTATTATTCGTTTGTTTATTCTCGTTTCATTACGTTCGGATGACGCAAGGCAAACAAGCATAGAAGCAATATTCAATTATCATCCTAAATTCATTTAATACTCATTTCACATACTAATTTCCACCTCATAACTAACTCATCTTATAGAAATCGAATTGCTCCTATTTCCTATCTTATTCCTCTACTTTCTCAGTCAACCACGATGAGTATACATCAACGAACGAATCAATCAATCTCACTATCGCCCAATATAAACGACAATCGATTTTGCTTTTAATTTTATTTCATTTCCAAACCAATACAACAACCAAATGCCATTTCCATTCAATTTTGCCCAGTCATTCTCTCAATGAATGACGAATGCATTCAGGTGAAATTGCGAATAACTTCATATAATACCACAACCAGCTCCCAATTATTTTCTTAAGTCGATTAGGTATAAGCTCAGAAAGATGATGCGTTGACTGTTTGTAACGGAAAAGATTCATCAAATCGATTACGGTAACAGAATTGCAATGGCAATCACTAGATATATAACTATTTTTTCATTAAGCATCAACGCTAACTGTTCGTATATGATGAAACCGATCTGTTAATGCACTTACCATGTGAATGTGAGCATAAGCCACCATAAACTGCTTGCAATCGAGAAGTAATAAGTGAGCATAAACGATAGAACGCATGGTGTATTGTCTAGTGAGCCGATTATCAGGAATGACTGTCCGGTGGGAAGACGTTCACAGGCACTTCTTTCGTACGGTATGAATGCACGACTCAACGATGGCAGCGAAAAGAGCATGTAACATGCCGATAGGTAAAATATTGACCTGAAATCAGAATGCTTTTCGAACGTGCCTCTCACTCGAGCAGTTGATTCGTTCTTAGAATAAATGCACTGCTGCTCTACCACCACAAACTTTTGATGCGACCTTGAACACATCATTCTGATTACATTCAGTTCAGCCGGCTTTTGATGCCCATCGCTAAAATATTTTCCCATAACATGGAATCGACGAAAATATTCATTCGCAACTCATTCGTTGAAGGAACTCACTGAGGGATTTATCCACAAAGTTCAAATTTATAATCGCTCGATCGCTTCAATTGTTTCAGAATTAAGATATTTATAAGAATATTGCTCATATGTTTTAAAATGATCCTTCAATGAACGTGCATAGTTTAAAAAACAATAAACTACTCATGAGCAAAGTAAAGCAAATTATCATTTGCGGGATCTCTTTGAAGCACATCTTCAGTGACGCATCACGCATCGCATTCATTCAAAAGTGTTCCGATTGCATAAATAGCATATTTTATGTTTTATAATAATAAGATTTTGTATGTATGCATATGGACATAACTACGGCGTCGGTTTCCCATCAACTCTCATCTAAAATAATTCTATTCGTTCAGGTGGGCTTTCAGATCGACTAAAAAAGTTTAAGAAATCAAAAACAGTCTGAAGAAAATAAATTACTTAGGTACAAAGTATATGTAAGTGATAGACGTAGAGAAATGAAGATGGAAACGATGTGATGAAGGACGATGAGTAAATTGAAAATGCGATTTGAATCGTCACCTTTTCCAATAAGCAGCTCACTCAAGCAAGAACACATTACAACTTCATTCATTCGTCAATCTTCTTTTTCTTCACTATTCGAATGAAATGCTACAATTAGAATAAAAGAAAAGGTGATCAATTGAAAGATTGCGATTTCTGCTATCTTTCCATGAATCTTCTATGAACTGAACAGTATTGTTTGAACTGACAAACTGAAAGCGAGAAGATAAGATAGACGTTTCGAAATTGAGCTGTGAATTCAAACAATTTTTACAGTTACCGAGTGATACTATCTTGTTTGCTGCAAAAATAGAATTATTATTGTTCTTGTCACTGAGGATCAGTTTACATCATTCTTACTTTGTACCTAAATAATTCTTTTTTAGTCGACCTGGAATATTATGAATCGGTATTTAGATTAATTTTATATTTACTATTAGATGAATAATCAATCCATTCTTGCGTTATAATTAACATGATCATTATTATAAATAATTGTGCTATTATTCCCTTTGTTACCAATACTATTATTATTATGTGTTAATATTATTATTAAAATTACTATTATCATCACTGTTGTTATACGCATTTCGGTAATTAGATTTTTCAATTCTTGAAATTTCCTTCAGTAATGCTGATGAATAGATTGAAGATGGAATGGATGCATTACACAAAGAAAACACATAAAGAAGACATTAGGAGTCAGAGAATTTTCTTGCTTGAAATAACCATAATTTATTCGGGCCAAACAGAGGTGATTTATCAACGGGCTCAGCCTTTGTATGTGGCAGCCGACCGCGATGTGAACCAGACGGGTGCCATACTTCATTTCAATTCGATGATGCCTACTGCCTTCCTTCTTCCCTTCACTTCTCACCGGCAACAAACACTTACAAAACAATAAAATTTTTTCCTATTCGAAAATCCGTTTGACGTTTTCAAAAAACAACTTCTGTAGCAAGTATCACGGTACGGTCGTGTAATAACGTTTTTGCTGAAGTTTGACAGAGTGGAATAACAAATTGGAGTTTTAGTTTTGAATAACTGATAATGAATACGATTTTATTTTTTCCAAATAATCATAATTTAGCAGCTGAGTTGAATCGCAAAGAATTTAAGAGAAATACGCTTTCATCACTAATTTATCCTCTAAATCAATAATTTTCTAAAAATTTCGACATAATCATACTTGTGATCAAACAGAGCATTGGACGTATTACTCTTATGTGGTTATAGGAGCAATCATCTGAGGAAACTAATACGATTTTATTACACCTTATATCACTTTCGTCTGCTGTTCAAATGTTCGAAATGTTTTCAGGCAGAAAAAAACTGATTTCTGTTGTTTTTAAGGATAATATACAATAAATCGATTGCTTTGATAAGCGAATTTAATGAGGAGTTGCCGAAGACTGAACGTTATAATTGGAATGTTATTTGCTGTTATTATTCTTAACAATGCAATAGGTAGGCTGAATTTGATTATTATTATCATCGCTTTAAACTATAAACACGATTCGTTTCGACCGAATAAATAACTTTCGAATTCACAAATTCACTTCCATAAATCATTCATAATGGGATCATATTATGTGCTGCTCCGTTGCGCTGCGCTGTGATTCTATTGCACTCACTACGTCATCACTGCTGATTGCACAACGCTGAGCATACTGTATTCAGCACAATCTCAGCCGAATATGACCCAACTCATCTTCGAAACGTCTGTCTCATTCTTACGAAGACGAGATGAAAGGAAATAGCCAACTACTGAACCGAACGAAAGTAATCCATATTTGATTTGAAATTCACTGACTACCATCACCACCAACTTTCATTTCAAATGAAACCAGCTCATTACATTTTCAGATTTCAATTCAGTTACTGTTCCAAAATGAATAGAAGAAGCGTAAATTTATTCGATATTCTATGAGACACTCTGATGGAACGTATTAAATAGATGGATTGAGTTACTTGCATGTTTACACAGGCAGATGTGGACACGAATTGTCTCATTCCTATTATCAACTGAAGAGCAGCAGCAGCACTTCGAAAATGTTGTTGGTGTTAGTGTTATTGAGAAGTCATCGTGCAATCATCTAATTCTCAAAAAATCGAAATGAACGAAAAACAGCGGACAAAGAAACGTGAGAACGAACCGTTCAGGGAAACGAAATCGTTGCCGATCAATCAGAAACGTGAGCACCGTGAAGGTTGTAATAGCAAGATTAATTGATGCCCAAAGAAGCATCCAGAACCGTGCGAATTCTTTTTTCGAATCGTCAAACATACCATCTCGATTGCACTGGAATGCACAATATCCATTTTGATCTGTTGGATCAAGATTCACCAGATCATTCGGACATTCAGCAATAGATTTGGCAAATATTCGACCCTCTATACTACTCAACGGATCGCGTTGGTCATTCTCCAACTGACTGAAAGATGCAATAAATATGGATTCAAATTTTCGTTTTTTCGAATTATCATTCACAAATTTATTACATGTTGTATTGCTACATTTTAGTTGTCTATTTTCAACTGCTTCAAGTGAACAACAATAATTTTTTCGGAAAAGCTCGTTTTTGGTCGTGCATAAGAACAGTCTCACTCAATGAGAAGGAAATTCCTTATTGAATTTACATTCCTGAACATTGTTTCCAGATGAAAACATTTTTGGCAACGTTGCAATTCGCAATTAGAAGAGCGTTCGGGTAACATCTCAGTTCATCAAATGACTCAAGAATGCCGTCAAAATAATCGTGTGCTCATCAATGAAAAAGATTTTTAAATGAAGGTGCGATAGACGTGATGATACACATAGATTGATGATGCTATTGTAAATAGAGCGTATAAAAGACGCAACAAAATGGAATAATTGATTGTAGAAACACTGATAAGAGACGAATGAATTGAATTGCTTGTCGGCTTACTTCAACGTCACTGCAGTTTTTCGTTCAACTGTATAGTTTACGTATATCACATATGGGTATATAATGAGAAAAATAATGCTCATAACTATAGCAGCGGTTACATGAAAAAAATGCAGAAGAAATTGATATGAAACAACTGAAATTATCGGCATTCTGAAATAAATTCATCCACTCACTCGGGTCCTAAGTAGCTGTTGTGTTCATTTGTTGGTTTCATGCACAGATCTGGTGCTTGAGGAAAACGACTGCAGTTCAACGGTTCGGGCCATTCAATGCCAAATTTTTCCAATATTGACACACAATCACGTTTCACCTTAACTTGTTCAATTTTTTTACACTTTCAATGAGTAACGGTGATAATAATAGTAAACAGTAACAGTGATAATAATGACAATTAGCAGCAGCAATAATAATAATAGTAATATTATAAGTATTAGAAATGCATCAAAACTGGGATGCAATTCGGAGAAGTGGAACATTCCTTGCTGAGTTGGCCTAGCGCTCAAAGATTCTTTCTAGATTCTATTCACTTTCCTCCTCTAGCGAAACGCGACTCAGATAATTTTACTCGTCCAAACTTGCGATTCAGATAGGTGACTTGAATTTTCACAATTGGATGATGAAAGCAACCATACGGATAGATGGACAGAAAGGTATCATAGCAAAACAATATCAGGCCGAATGATTTATTTTTCTGAATATAGAATTGATTACACTGACTGTTTGCGAATGATTCAAAGAATATGAAAGCTGAACAAAAATCCCCTTTTAGTTCAACGACCAATGATTGAAGCCTATGGCGCAGTGATCAGAACGCTTAGTTGGAATCGAATGAAATTATGAGGAGAGTGGGGAATAATAAGGCGACTGCAAAACTGTAACTGATAAAGTTAATGATAAATTCCTAACGGATAAATACGCAAGCAGGTAGGCGGTTAATAATGAGTGCAGTTTCAATTGCTCGTTTTTAATCGATTCAGTACAATAAGATGTGATTTTATGACAGACTTAGGACACTATTCTCATTATTATTACTGTTATTATTATTGTTTTTGTTATTGTTATGATTTCGTGGAATTTGAAACAGGTGGAATGCGATTAAATGAAAACGAATCGAATAACAAATTGAAATATTTGTATTGTAAGTAAAACATTAAGATAGTCGAACTAAATTGAAGTACAACACTGCTATTGGATCGAAATGATAAATGTTGTTTACAGCTGTTGAATTGGTAAGAAAATGCTGTTATATGGATGTATATAGGTTGTTTTATTAGATGAGTGAATGGATTAATGCAATGATGCGATTTATGAAATGCGATGGGTCGGATCAATTTTATTGGATCGATTAACGACGATACAAGTGGAAACGGAAAGGATGGGATGCGCGGACGGATGGATGCAAAGAAAATGAATCGATAAAAAATGTAATTAACATATTCTTAGTACTACTGTTATTATTGGTATTCTTATTACTCTTATTGCTCTTATTTAAATATTCGTTTCATAAATCTATTATTCATCAATCAATAACGCTCGATTTTTCATGTTTCGATTGAGTTGAGATGCCATTTTGCCTATTATCCTGCAAACGTAAATGTTTATTGTAATCCTTTCCTTACAATCATTTTCAGACGAAGTGTACAAAAATCGATTGAAATGGAAATTCTTTAGTTTTTTTTGAATGAACCCATTGTATGTTCTATCGTTTGTGAAATAAACGTCTATGAATCAACTTCATAAATGAACGAATTCCCAATGCTATCGATCATTGAAGAATCGAATAATTCTTTGATTCGTACCTAAACTTATAGCAAAATAAGATGAAGACAGCGTTGATTTAAGTAGAACAGAAGATGAAAAGAATATGAACAGATTATGAGAAGATTATTAATCGTTTACTGAATTAAATTATTATCAATGGATAATGGCTAATATGAAATGACGCGCACTTTTATACAACTCGACGTCCGTCTGAGAAATTTCAGTAGCGTTGGAGAAAGTGAAATATTCTGAATGGTTCAACAATAATACTAAAAGATAGAGCGCATTAACCTCACGTGAACGATGCTAATCATCCGACTCGTATTCCATCTCTTAATGTCGGGTGCAGATGAATACGGCCACAGAAAAGATGGCCTACGCATAAAATTCTTTCGCCGGACATAAAACTCTCAAACTTTCTTGAGCGCTTCTTAGTGGAGTGATTTCGAATTGAAATAACTGATACAAAACAATTATCATTAAAAGTGTTACTGTAAACGTAACAATGTCGTACGCATAATGATAACAATAATAATAAAAATGATTTAATAATATAATAATAATAATAACAATAACAACAATAATACTAATAATAATATAACAATAATATAATAATAATAAATAATAATAAATAGTAATAAGAAATAATAATTCCGAGATGTCCATTCAACTATGCGCACAATGTATTCGAAATAGCGAGCGCACAAGCGTAATAAATAAGCGCAAACACAATAGAGCAAATGATCAGTGCTCAAAAGCAGGATAATGCGAATACATAACGATAGATAAATCAAACAGTTTGAATGCCCATGCATTTTTATATATGCGATTGATGTGTGTTGTTTTTTTGTTGTGAATGCTTTTTGTTTGATATAAAATCAATGTAGAAGGGAAGGAATTGAAGATGATGTTGTGCAGAAATAGGAATAAATTTTACGCTTGATGATATTGTATTTTGATGAGGATGACACAGAGCACAACTATATCATACGTACTAACCTCTTCGCAAACAGAACGACAGCTGGTAACCGCCTGTGGCATATGCTGAGGACACATTGGTGCAAACACACTACAAATGAAGAATTTGATGTGTGGATTGCATTTGGTTTTGATCAGTGGTTTAAAATGCTCGGTTTGAGTTTGTAACTGAAATTATGAGATTGATTAATTAAGTGATTATTGAGCCTGAAGTGTCTTTTTGATTGGAACATGAAAAGTAATTCTGAGACTTGTTTTGTCTATTTTTTGTTGTTGTTTCAGAGAGCGAACCATATGACGATGATGAAGAAAAGTGTGAAAGTTGATGAGATAGACATAGAAGATTGATAAGTTAATAACGAAGTGACATGAAGTGAGCACTTTTCATAAGACACTTGTTAGAATGATGAATATCAGTGATGTAAAAAATTGAAGGGTTTCGATGAGATGAGAGCAACAAAAAAGAAACGCACACTCTGTTGATCTGGTTGTGGGAGGGAATTCGGAAAATAGGTGTATTTATATGGAATATCTTTGCATAGTGGAATTTCAATTGGTTCACATCGACTTCGACTCGCCTGAAAATTCAGTTAGCACTAAATCGATCTGTAAATTCGCATCAATGTTGCTCATCAGAACTTACTGTGCACACTATGGATGCACTTTTAGGGTGTGGATGATTTGATATTGTGGTCTTGTCCGAAGCAAAAAGAATGCTGATCATCAAAAATTGGTGTATGTTTTGATAAGAAATGACAGTACTGATAAGCGTGAGTTAAAGGTTTATCGAAATATGAACGCAATACAATCAAATCAGCTGCTGGTTGCTTAAAAAAGTTGTTGATGAAAGTTGGTTGTGATTTGATAAAGAAAAATGAAGTGCACTGATGCTAGAATGAAAAGAATAAAAAGAAATGCACGGTAGAATAAGAAATGAAGTGACCTGTTCGAAAATTGATGAATCAACAGGATTCGATGATACAATAATCAAAAAGAACAACAACTTGTTATGAATATGATTGAAGAATTGTACTCTACTAATTGGGATCATCATCCTTCGGATATATCTATCAGCTTTTGTGCTGCAAATATTCAATACACTCCTCACCCAAACGTACAACAACAACAACATTCACATTCACATTCACATTCATTCACCGCGCATAAAAGAGAAAAGAAAGACACGCCTCCCTCCACACTAAAAAGGCCAATATTTTATCCACACAAATTTATTACCGCTCGTTTCGCCTCGTCGGCGACCATATTTTCTTTTCTTTTCCTCGTTTTGAGATGAGAGCAGAGCTGTATTTGCTGCCGATGCTACTACTAGTGCTCATATTACATCGGAACCCGTTTTATAATAATAATAAACAATAGTAATAATCAATGTTAATAAACAGTAATAATAACAATTATAATAAATAATAATAAATGATAATACTAAAAGAGTAATAATAAAACAATATTATTATTAAATGATAATAATAAAACAACAGTAACAATAATAATAATAACAGTAATAATAATAATATTATTATTATTATCTTTATTATTATTATTATTATTAAAACGATAGTAATAATGATAATAATAATAATAAACAATAATAATCAATATTAATAAACAATAATAATAACAATAAAACAATAATAATAATGATAATAATAATTATAATCAATATTAATAAACAATAACAATAACAATAAAACAATAATAATAAATTATAATAATAAACGAATAATAAAAAATAATAATAATCAAACAATATTACTATTAAATGACAATAATAAAACAACAGTAATAATAACAACAATAGTAATAATAATAATAAAACAATAATAATAGTAATGATAAAATTGAACTGTGGGTTTGAATCAAATGGAATTGATTTAATTCTATTCCAGTTCAAATACTATATCATTTTAATGAACAACGCACTTTTGCTAACCAAATTATAATTACAAATCGAAGAGAATTGGTTATTCTTTTCTAACTTAAAACGTATTTATTAATAAATCAATTTGACTGTAGTTGCAAAAAGGATGAATAAACAATAATATTAAATACGCGATATAAGGAGATTATTTCAAGTGTCTACGTTCATGTGAATAATGAGTTGATTCTTATTTTCAGTTAACAGCATTGTGAAGTTTTATTCACTTAATTCAAAAAGAATGGGTTGCTTGAACAAAGCATACATTGATCCGCAGAGGTTGGTTTTCGAATCACTGATGTGAACTCGAGTAATTTATGTATGCGATGATCTGTGATCTGCAAACATCAGAAGGATGCCGTGAAAGTGGTTATACGAATATTTCATGGTGTCCCATTAACTTTCAAGCATAGTTAATGAACAAAAAAGAAGTAGAAAAATAATTCGATTCTTGAGTAAAGAGAAAATGAAAGGGAGTTCGTTAACGTTCCATTTGGCCTGCATCAAACTCCTTCCTCGAGCATTTCATATTTTCAAATACTTCATATATTTTTGAAAATTATTGAATTGAAACAGCGAATCACGTGGTTGGCTACAAATATTTTTGATAGTATTACTTTTGTCCACAACAGAAATTGTTAGAGTTTTCTTGACTGCAACATATCTTGGAATGTACGACCACTTTTCGATTTGCACTTAGAAATTCATAACTTTATCAAATACTCGTCAGTTTACACAAATCGAAATGATCGCAAAACTCAAACAACACTCATTTCATTGGCTTTTGAAATGATTGCAGTATTCTAGTATTCTATTGCATAAGTATATAAAAATGTTAGATTGATGAAGAGAACAGGCAGATGAACAATGTAAAAGAGAATAAAATGCTTCAAAAGTGAATCTTCAATAATAAGCTTCAATTGGTTTTGTTCTAACGTGATAACTGTTGACGTGCTTATCGCAGTCGTTCTGGAACAGCTTTAACAGTCATTACTTTTGATTTGTTGTTTAACCGTAATTCTACTGACAGCACGAATCATCGTTATAAGTTAGTTCAGATTGTTTAAAAACTTTTTCATGTTTGTTAATCAATTAGACGAACGAAAAAAAANAAAAAAAACCTTTTAGTGACTCAATATTGCTATATTCAGTTGTTCTTATACGAAAAAATTAATTCATAGTTGACACGTTGAACATCGTCATAGAATCACTCACAATCGACGACTAGTGAGAACTATTCGCAAAAAATTGATTTTTGGATGATTCTATCGTTATGATTCTCACGGGAGGGGTGATTCCCCCTAGGCTAATTTGATGATGCCAACGATGAATTGAAGATTTGCAAATTGATGTTGATTGATAATTCTTTACTCAACAATATTGCCAAAATGATCGTTTGATCATTGATAAGTGGTTCCTTTCAGATCACAACTGAATTTCCTTGTAGGAGACTTTTTGTCATATGTTTCAATTTCCTGATTTTCCGATTCGCTACTAAGGTGTAATGGATCATTGGAGGGAGAGGGGGATAGAGACGGAATTCCTATCACTTACATTGTTAAAGGGAGTTGCGGTCTGCCATGAGGCCGAAGGGGGCCCGGAGCACGAGAACAGGAGAACCACTGCTCTATTCCGCTCAACTATTCGTATGTGAATGTCTCAGATAGGAAAGTTCAAATTCGAAACACTTTTCAGTGACTTTGCTTTTATGAAGAAGTTATTTGCTAGAAATAACTGATAAATTATCTGATATATGGCTGATAAATTAGTTCTATCACCTATTAACAAGACTTCGAGCGTTTAATCAAACACAAAATAATCTGCAAAATGCGAACCAACATTCAGAAACAAAAACTGGAGCAAAGTTGATTGAGAAGCAGTTCTTCGCACGGAATTTCGTTTCTAAACAGAATTTAAATTTCGAAGCGCATTTTAAATGAAAGCCAATGTGGCGTTGAGCTTTAATATCACAACACATTTAATAAGAAAAATGATACGCACATTAAGTGTATACTAAATGATTGTGAAAAACATTTCTGGAGAATTATTTCGTTAAGCACGAAAAAAAATTGAACGTAAAAATATATGTGCGTTCGCAGGCATTCTTGGAACATTGATGCAAACAAAATAGAGCAATATGATATTGGTATATTATCGGACATATGTGGTTATTCCATTGAAGATTTCATTCAAAAAACAAGAATCATTTAAAATATATTGATGCATACATATATCCATTGTAGTAATTGCAAACAAATGTTGATTTAGAAAACATTCGCATATCCACACGACTATTTCATTCATTTGCAGTCGTATATTTGAGACTATCTTATAATATTCCATATAATATTATAAGATATCAGCATTCTCACATACAACTTACCTAGATCATTTCTAAAACGAACATTATACCATCGAATAAATGACGAATAAATGAATTTTGTTCCGTGATAGTGATAAAATAATGCCGCTTATTCAATTCATTATTAAACTCAAAAATATTCACAAAACTATAATGACATGATACGATCGTTGCTGAATTCTTCATCGTCATTTAACGCTCCAGGCATCTTTCTCGTGTGCGACTTGAGGTTTGTGTATATATGTTAAGTGATTGTGAATAACTGCCCTGCCACAAGCATTGTTCAATTATTACTCCACTTCATAACGTATGACATTTTGTTTTGAAGTAATCCAAATAAGATATGATTTTTAACATATGAGAAAATATCATACCGAATGCGATCAGCATGTATGGCTACACTGCTCATTAATCCATGAGATTAATCAACTATCATGCTGTGTGGTTGAATATTTGGAATGGTTGTGTGATAAATATATCGACACTGTATATGATCGATAAGAAATAATCTTCAGAGAATAACTTTCAGTATACTATCACAATAGATATAACTGAGAAATGGAATCTCCCTCTACTGACTGAAAAAATAATTTCACGAAACTCGACGTGCCGATGATGAGGGAATTGGGAAATGAAATCGAATTAAATGGGAAAATGAAATAAGATTAATGATTGCTGCACATCTTCAATAAATCATCATATATTCCTTTATGAACTCTAAATTTTCAATTAAAGTCAGAAGAAAAATAATTTCAGTTTAAAGAAATTCGTGTAGACTCCAATCACATAATTAATTGCATCCATAAATTATTTCATATTCACTTTTTCTTGCAGAAAACATAAAACATTGTTGTATGAAAATCGTATTTCTTATAACAAATTTTCATCGCCTATTTGAAAGTGTTTCTGCTGAGGATTCTTATTATTATTGTTATAACTATCACTGTTGATGAAAATAGTATTATTTTAATCATAATTATAAGTACTGTCATTATTATTGCAGAGAAGCAAACTTCAATGATTTGTAGAAATTCATTGTTTAGCATGAGCTGGTGAGATAACGGGTGAAAAATATTAAGATGAACGCAGATGATGCATATTCACAGAATTCAGAATAGCGAAACGGTCTTAGAAATTTTATGAGTGCATTAAAGAGCACTATAAAAGTAATTTATGTTAGTAGAGAAAGCGTGCTTAGCAACTAGGCATAGTAACGAAATGAATTCGTTCCATTTATGGCCACAGCTGTTCAAGTCGTTGATTCATTTGCTTTTCGGTGGTGTAATTGTTGATGAAAGTGGATGACACGAAAATCGGATATACAAATGTAGATTAGATAAACATTATTGGTTAAGGTGATATTCACCAAATTATGCTCATGTGCATTATCGTCGTTGTTCGTACACCTGCCCATTCATTTAGCAGTTTATAATGCTTTTTGATACTAATTAATGCATTTGCAATATTTGTGATTTTGAATTTACATCACCCCTATGCATTTTCAATTATATCATATCAGTCATCGAACGTATAACTTTAAACAGACGAATCAAAATTGACGAATCAGATTTCTCATTATTGCTTCAATTGTGGAACATTTAAAAAAAACTGCGGCCGGATTCCATGCATGCTACATATGTTTGATACAAATGAAGTTGACTGATCAGCCGGATAAATAAAACCTTTAACGACTGAATGAAGATCATTAGTTTATTACACTTGTTCCACTGTTCATCAACAACAATAGTGCAACGAACAGTCAGAAGGTGTATGCATTAGGACGAGAAAATAACTTAAACTGTTGATTTGAGAAATGAAAAGAGAAAACGTTTCTGATGATGAGGAAGAAGTATGAAAGTGATCACACATCACCTTAAAAACAAAAATTATCTCAACACTGTTTGAACTCAAGAGCGGATTAGATAAACATTATTGCTTGAGGTGATATTTACCAAATATTATTCAAATCACAATAAGAAACTTTTTACGAACATTAACATTTTTCCGAAATTGTAATTCAAATTTTTCAAAGTGCCTATCATAAACAACCATGTGCAGCAGTGATCACATCGATCATGATTCAGGAACATCAGCGAATATAAATATCGTCCTCTCCTCTGATACAATACACTTTTATGATGAGGAACTGTTCTCTTTCATAACCTCATTTCAATGAGGTTATGAAAGAGAATAACCCGTGCAAAGTTTCGCTTAAAAAAAATTTGAAAGGTAGCTACTAAGTCTAATTACCAAGCCAGTTGTTTCAACGTTTTGGAATTTTTGGATTTTGAAATTTCCAAGGTCTTACTCCTCAAAAAGATGCCCAGGTCTAGACCGCTGGTTTTTAAAAACTAGATCAAGATCTGTGCACATAAGATTGAAGAAGGAGAAGGAATTGCAAGGGATGGGTAGAGCCTTTTTGGATTATATTTGTAGCATTTGCTGTGTTGAACACCTCATAACTTGGCTGCTATGATAGAATTTTTGACGATTGTAAATAATCTGAGATGTGCTATTAACAGTATATGAAGTTTCTGTTTCTGTTTCACGTCGATTATAATTTTTTGATAATAAAAAACGACAAATTGAAAAATTCACCACTTTGTCGCCACAAATACCAATAAATAGTGACGATAAAATGGAAAAGAACAAACACAAATCTGTGAATAGAAAAAATTTTTTGCATTTCATTCTGAGGTGGATCAAAATAATTGACAACAGTTTCAGACTGTTACTTTTTGAATAGTGTGCGATAATGAGATAAAACTGATGGTTTACATTAATCAAAATGTGCACAGTAACATGAGCATTGATATGATGTAGTGCGAAACGATGATAAAAGCAATAATAAAAGAAATGATGAACGGACGTCGGTAAATAATGATTTATAATAACTGATGGAGTGTGATAAGCATTTGGGAACATTGTTGAAGCAAATTTACATTTAAAATGCGAACGCTTTTTTTCGGAAACTTTCTTTTTCCGAAAAAAAAGATTCAAATGCATGTTGAATCTCGAACAAATTCATTTCATTAATCAGAAACGGTGATGAAAGTTTGTAGATTTGGGCACATTTCGTTTTGATTTCAGTATGCTTGATGAGTACAGCCCGCGAAATCATGTATCTTCACCAATTCTTTTCGAATTGCATCGTGACTTTGCTTGCAACACTCACTGAGTGGGCGACAAATATTTTGTAATTTTGTTTTTCAACGTGAAGGTCATCAACTACGAATAGATTCATTTACATAAACACTGCAGTTTATTCTTCTCAGTGGAAGAGGGAGAATTCTGTTCTACCGAAGAATTCGAAAATGTCAGAGGAGAATTAAGGAAGTTATAAAACCAATACTGATTGATATTTCTCCGTAATAGTCAAATATTGATAGCAAACTTTTCCATCACTGAATCAATTGTTTGATTTTCTTCTTGCACATCGGCTACAAGTAATAAACTATTGGAGGAGGAGTGACGGTCACGTACATTATTCGCGCGAACTTGACACTGACTATCGCCAAAAGAGGGCTTGAAGAGTAAGGGCGTGGGAACCCCTAGTCTGGATAGTGTGGAACAGAATGATTGATTGACTGCTGACGAAAATCTGAAGGAAGGAGATAAATGAAATCAACATTCGGATCAAAGGAGTAAAGTGTTTGCGTTGAACTGAAAGGCTGAATGGAACGAGAAGCTTAATCGTTTTATTCGATAAGTAAAAAAATGGAAGAAAGCAAATGTACAGCCAAAAATGAAATAATAACACGCAAAAGTGCATCAAATACAAATGAAATATACAAATTATTGTCAACTTAATAATATTTCGAGATTGTTCAAGTGGTAAGTATATTGACATTGATTCAATACTGTAACAGCCAGCTGGTTAGCATCTCTGAACAAAACTGCATGTTTTGAAAAATATAAATGTAATTATGATCACAATAAGGCCCATCAGAACATGCCGCTTATCAGAGCCATTCCACATCGTTGGATGAAGCTGAATCGATGAACAATTTGTAACCTGTGTGTGAGCGATAGACTAGTCGAGGAATTAATCATTTCAAGTAAGAGATGCAGTGATAATATTTGCCATACAGTGCAATAAGTAAATGGCAACGAATTGAAGTCAATTCCAAGAAAGTAAAACGGGAATACTATTCTTGATGATTACAAAGAACGAATACCATTTAACATAAATCAAACAAATAAGAAAAGACAATAATCTGATCAGAATTTATCATGACATCAAAAACAACTAACATTAATGAGGTTTCGTTACAATAAAATTTACCTGCAACTGTCTCAAATCCGTGCTAAAAAGCACATGACAAACAAAAGAAAAACAACGATGAAATATTGCAAAAATAATTCCAAATAAAAACAGAATTAAGACTTAGAGACTCAAATAAAATGAACCACCAAAGGTACTACAAATTGAAATACAACAGGCTAGATTTAATTCAAATTAGATTGCATACTACTTACATCAAAAAAGATAATAACGAACAAAATTTCTATCGAGCATATTCGATTAATAGAATTTCAACACATACAAAAATATATAAAGAACTAATTCGAGAATAAACCAAAATGAACGCGTAGGGCTCAAAACTACCACAGTGAGACGTGGATCACAATAAACATATATCATAATTATGCACAAAATTGAAAGAATCTTAATAATAAGGCCATCAAAATTAATGATGATCCATAATTGTTGATGGGTGAATAACGTTATTTATATACATTGCCATTCACATCTTAATTTCCCGTTTTAGGCTCACGCTAACTTCATCTGACAAACAGCACTTGAACGGTAACAAGAAATCTGTTTCGTGCGTTCAATCACACACGATCGCATCAGCAATTCGCACTCAGTAGTATAATCATTCTTCGCCGCATTGAGCTTAATCTCGAACTATTTGATACGTTCCATTGTGCGAATATTACAAACAAATAAAAACTGAGAGGATTGACTGAAATAAACAGCATTCAATAACGAAACGATTTGTTACGAAAAGGAGGTAGAGAGTCGTAAAATAGCTCGAAACAGATAAATGAGTTCAGCTTGAAGACGCGATTCCATAATCATCAATATGACGTGCACCTAAAAATAAATGTGTTTGGTCAGAAAAAGAAACAAACCTCTGTAGTTTCAAGACGGCGTGCTTGTAACGCATAACTATTACATAGCTGAATAGAAGTTTCGAAAGAATAACGATGAGAACGAACCTTTTCAGAAGGCTGAAAATCAACCATGACAGATTGACGAAGAGACGCGGTGGTCTTATCTGGAAAGCAGCAGATAGTCTTGATGAAGGTTTTCATTTCTCGACTCAGCATCACATTCACTTCAGCATAATTATAATCATCATGTCTGATACCTAAGACAGAAAATTTTAACAGCATTAACCTCTCAGCAAACAAGTTCTTATATATATTAAACATCAAGCATGGCATAAAAATTGATTAGCGTTAATTACTGATAAAATCTTTAATAATTTAGACGCAATTTCCGAATAATTATTACCATATAAAGACTGAATATACATCCATATAGCCGTACGGTATTTGCTCGTATCAACATCACTGTAGCCACCCATGCTGAAATTAACAAGTAGCGATAACCTAAATGAACATCACTGATCCGCAGAACTACAATGAAATGGAAGAAAACGATAATCTTTATCAAGCATGTTATAAACTGAATACTTAAAGTTAGATTGTCTCCTATGAACGAGATCAATGCATCTAACAATACGGCATTGTCAGCATCAATCAACTTGCAAGACGCAAAATCACTAACGTGAAATATGTAAGATTTTGTGTTAGCGTAAACTTCTTATCGAGAATATCAGCCATCTCGTTATAGAACTCATCCACACAACTGTAACCTTGATCCTCCCATGAAAGATCCTATAAACGATGCCATCATCAATATTTGCTCATACAACGGCACACTATATATATATATGTGTATATAGGATTTTTGGCTGAAATTGTATATGCGAAAAAAGAATGAAAAGATTGGCTGAAATAGAGCATTACATGAATTTTATGAGTCCTTGCTGTATCATTGCGCGCACACAGTGCGAAATCAACATAACTGAACCGCAAATCCCTTGCATATAAACATGCGCTTTCATCAAGACTACTTTCCTTGTTTGTTTCAACATTCATCGTACCACCTTCAAATAAACATCACAACGTTAAAGAATAGGATTCGAAACATCGCAATGAAGTGAGACTGATCCAATTTGAGAACTGCAAAAATGTGATTCAGTTCAATCGACGGGGTGATGAAATTTGAATGGTCGACAGGTTCTTATCTATTTTTCTCGTAGATTAATTGGAATCTTACTGGAACTGACTGTATCAAAATTGAGAGGTGTTCGAAGCTTACAAGGTTTATCCGTATCAGCGATGTTGTCAGCTGCATGCACCTCAAGGAAATGCCTTTGTCGTTGTGGTTCACTCATATTCAGTTCATGTTCACATGATCTGTTTCCTTTCAGCTCACTCATACGCTTCAGTAATAACTCTACCTCACCCTCTTGACCATTCTCCTTCTCATTTTTGGAACGAATCGACGCTAATGAGCCACTGAAGATAAATGACATATTTGAAACATACATGAGTTATCACATCTCTTTTAAACAATGATTAACTTGACTTTGAAAAGGATGAGCTTGCTTGAGATCAGCTGGTGATGTTATGAGGTACCGTTTCTTGCATTTAGAACAATGGCAAATAACAGACAACAACAAAATAATCTATTGTGCTGTTCACGTGAATTGATAAAGCATTATCATCGAAGAGTCATAAGAATTACAGTTGCCTCACTGATCAACTGATAAGAAACTTTTCTGTCCGCACATTCATTCATTTATTCCAATCATTAGTGAATACTGTGTGATTAACTGATGAAACAAGAAGCGACATACCTACATCAATTATTTGTTTAAACTCTTTTTTGAGTTGTTGCTAGTCTTAGAATACAGTTGAGCTTTTTTCGCTCAAATCTAATGTTGAAGAGTGTTTATACTAATCGAGAAAAAATGAATTGGCAAAGATTCAAAAAAAACAAACAAATGAGACTTCATCTAAAGATGAGCGAAAAAATCTTATACGATTACGTCGGGGATTGATGAAAGCTGAAGTAAAGTAAATTTATATGGAACAAATTTCAACGATGGATAATCAGATGAAATTTGTATTGAAAGTGCCGAGAATTTAATAGCTGACTTTGATCGATAAAGCATGAAAAACTGGCGAATAAAAGAGATTCAAATAAAGCGAAATAGAAACTCACTAAACATTGGCGTTATGCTCAATACCGCCGTTGCCAAGAATAAACGAGCAAAGGACGTGTGTCTGTGCAAGAACGATTGTAGCCTGTACTAATTCAGATAATGACCAATTGGCTGGCGATTGACACTTCGTTAATGCCTTCAATTACGCATTCTCCATTTAATAACTTTTCATTAATCTATCTATTGTTAGTCTTACATCTCAATTAACTTTTTTCACCATTGCTTATTCCATCGCAATTTTAATAGTTTCAAAAAAAATTTCAATAAATAACTATACTACGCAAAAGATTAACAAATTGAATATTTCGTTTCATCAGCAAACAAACGATTAAATTCAAATGAACAGTTCGACACGAAAAATAAATCACTTAAATGTTGTTATATAAGCTCAAAGTTCTCTCACTAATGAATCATTCATCCAAGAAGCGAAACACTGTAAAGATGTCCAAGTTCAGTGATTTCGAGAACATCAATAAAATCTCAAAGAAAAACTCAATTTGCGAAAGATTCTTCTTTAGTTCTGTTTCAACAAAAAACATTTGTAACCATTTTGTCATCATTCGATAATTTTCTCAGAATTTATCTCTAGAATTTATAACTTGAGATCACATATAATTTTATTGTAATAAATTATAATAGCAATGATAATAACAACAACAATGACAGTCTATTTCGACGAACCACTAAATGATCACTGGTTATAGACCACGGTTGATGAGCAAGTATTCCATTCAGCGTATCCATGCTACTAATTTTCAGTGGTACATAACCAAGACCTTTTAACCACTCCCTGTTACCGCCGAGCCGCAAAAATTCTCGTTTATGTAAATTCATCAAATAATGACAACGATGTCGACTTGCGGCCTAAAACTGCATTGATAACATGAAGGCACTCATTTGTAATCGATAACATTCGATAGGAATTATTCAAAGAACACATGTGCTATTAATTTATTGCGTTCTAATTCTCGTTTTTCATTCAGTCCTTTTTATCCGTTTATCACCACCTCATGTCTGTTCATTTGTCTCACGATGAAAACAGATCGTGAATGTAGCAACAGACAACAATACTAGTTACGGTTGGATGTGACCTCCCCAAAAGCTTCATGCGACTCTGCAGCTCTCATGGGAATAACAGACGCTGACTGATATAAGGCACTTAAACAGTATAGGTAGCCACTCTAAACGATGCGTGAATCTTGCTTAAATTTACGCTTCTAAATTTCAATTTTTGCTCGTCGACCATTTCTTTTATCAATGTTTTGGTCGATCACTTTGCTTGCAATCATTCTCCGTTTTGGCGAAAACTTCTGATTCTACCTTTTTACTTTTTTGTTTTTCGTGATTTTATCTTCTATTTGCTTGGTTTGTTCTGATTTCTGGTTTTTGTTAGGATTTCAGTTCGACGCCATACCAAGTTCTGAACATGAATGTCGAACAAACACAATAAGAATCTATCATTTCGTAAAACGCTGACAAGTTTATTGTTTCTTTTTGAAGAATAATAATAAAAGAGATAAATGAAATGGCTATCAAAATGCACCAGTAATTAAGTTATATTTGGCCGTCAATTTCTGCAAATTAAAATAATTAGCTTTATTTGAAAAGGCGAATGTATAGGCGTTCAAATGTGTGCATATTTATATGAGCAGAATAGAAATTAGAAAAAGATGGTGAGATAACGTATTGTTATTCAATAAAACAACACTGACGTTGCCCATCGAAAAAAAAGTTTCGATAAAATTCCGATTAAAAAAAAACATGAGAAACCAACAACTGAAGACAAACAAATAAAAACGTCATTATTGTGTTCTTTGAACAAAATTTGATACGGTTCTTTTTCTCAAAATCATCAATTTTATTTACGCATGCCTTCATTCATTTTTCGAACAAACATCGATAGAACATGGGAATGAAACTGATAGGTTTACGCTGGAAGTAACTATAAACTACGTGTAATTGAATGATGGAAGATAATTATAGACAAGTTTTGGAGAGATAAACAAACGCACGAGGACACTGGGGGATAAAATGATAAACTGAGAGACACTGTTTTTATGAGGCTGATGAAAATGAGAAATAATATTGAAGACCTGAAAGAGATATGATTAATAAGAATAAGGTAATGAATTCTCCAGGCCTGATGAATACAGATTTTGAATGAAAAAGATTCGAATAATTATTTCTGATGAAAACTCCACTGTACCTTATTTAAAGAAACGCCTAATCAACAGAAAACAAGAGAAGAATCTAATATCTACAGTAAGACGAAATGAAAACCAAAAACGACTTCGAGTATATTGATACTAACCATAATTCAGAGAGACTAGAGAAACAATCCAACATGTTATTCACTGAATTCAATGATCCTTTCGCAGAAATATTCCTCGACTATTCAGCAAAAGTTAATGGAATTTTTGGTCATTACAGCTTTCCAACCAAATGATACAGTTCTTATGATTATTTCTCGGAAAAAGACAGTTCGTATGTAGTTGTAAGGAATCGCAAAAGCAAACGGGTTTGCAACATTTCATTTTTAAAAGTGCTTAATATCGAGCGTCGAACTTGAAATGTTATTTGATGCAATTTATCGGTCACGACAACAGGCAAACTTGCGACAGTAAATAATGACTAAAATAATGAAGGAATTAATTCTATTCAAATTTAAAATCTTACACAAGAATTATGACTACTTTCTAAGAAATCATTCTAGTTTCTTTCACTTGATTGTAATTTTAAAAATTTCTCCGTTTCATTATGAGTTCCCGCATTTTGAACATTTTCGATTTCATTTCGAATTTTTGCACAATGTATTCAAATGATGTATTTGCATGAGATTTCAAGATTATGAGCACCAATCGTTCACAATATTTTGCGCTTCAACCATTCGTATAATGTAATCCGGTCTAATAAAGGTTTTAAACGCTCAGTCTTTTGAACAAAAGTAATAAGTAAAGATATATTCGCGTTTTAAAGGCTGCCTTGATCAAAACAATGTCTCAAAATAAGTAGTCAAATTATCAGCGTGCGAAAAATTATAAGATAAGTCAACGGATACATTAAATTTGCAACAACCATATTATTGAATGAGCTTACGATTACAAAATGAGTTATTTAAACATTTCCACTGAACTTATTGGTTTCCATTCAAATGCAACCCTGTTTAGTTCACAATTAATTTGCAGTAAACGTTGTTTTGGCTCCAACATAAAAACTGACTTTAGTGGATAATGTGTCTATTTCAATATTTTTTGCTAAGATTTGTCTGTCCAAAAACACTGACTGATACAATGGCAATCGGACGGGAAACAGAAAACAATTTATTGCAAACAATTTACTGGATAAGCGTTAAGGAAAGAACGATTTTTTGTGAGGTAAATGAATGCAGCTAACTGAATAATCTGATCTTGAATATAAAACAAATGTTGTTGACGCTAATGATGATGATGAAAATTCAATGCTCAGCATGATGAAAAATTAGTCGTTTCAATTGTTAGCGATTACAACTGATTGAATATCGAAATGAACGCGAGCCGGAAATCAAAAATCGAAGAGATCATTGAATAAACACGAAAACATTTCTAGAAAATATTATAAGCACATACTAATAATCAATGTGGAACAAACAGCAGCACGAAGAATAAATTCAACAAACCATTAAAGCTACGTAGTGTCTTTCATGGGCTGCCATTGGGCCACGGCCATAAAAGAGTTGATCAATTGCTTGATTAAAAACATGCCGGTATTTTGGATGCAAATTCAAGAAACTGAAACAGTACAACGGATTGGTCTTTGTTCCTTGATTAAGACTGCTCAAATTACAGAAGGCTACTATGAAATGCTTTTGATCTACATAGCAATATGCCTATTTCAACAATAAAGACTGACAAATTGAAAGATTGATTACAAGAAATCTGTTCGCTCAGTAGATGTTCAAAATTGACAGTCCATGAAAAACTTCTTTGCTTTTCACAACACTCATATAAAATCAGTTCGATCGTTATCAACGCAGTTTCTGGATGCTTGTCATTTATCCTTTTTGCATATTTGCTAATCCATTTCTTTCAATGACCCAACAAAACAACTAAATGAACATCACTTCTCAATGAACTCAATGAGCACTAAAAATGCCCTTGAGCTTCCCATCAAGTTTGCTATTACACAGTTGTGAATGTACATAAATCATGAAACGAAAAAGAACGTCAACAAATTTAGAACCATCAAATTGTTAAACATTCGAAAGTACAGAGTTTACGTCGGAATGACAGCCGAGTATGGAATCGAAACTTTTTTCTTTATCAACGCAATTCTTTGAGAATGGATGATTGAAAAGCATTTCAACCATTCTTTAATGGTGCTCGAATCTGTCTGCCAGAACAGCAATTTAATCAATACCTGTTTTCGATATCCAAAAAGATACATACGAATCTAAAGTGAGAATAAATAACTGAACCAGAAAACTAACTGATCCAAAGGCTGCCATATGTCAGGTAAGAATATTTCGAAGCAATCATCGTCCTCAATCGAAGACATTCCTAGAAAATATGATCATGTAAAATTAAACTCTTCCATAAGAATGCTGTCCGAGATAAGTGGAACGATATCCAGCAAGTGCCAGAGCTAGCTAAATCAATCAATTGACGGAACAGCAAAACGAGACACAATGACATGAAATCAAAGAGCGCAAAATCATAATAATATTGAAAAGAACAACGATTTGAGAAAAGGTTAAGTAGATTATTCGATTGGTTTGTGATACGCCGTTATCCAGTCATAATCGATCTTTTCATCGATGCGATAATTCAAAAAATAGATAAGAATATCAAAAAAGTACAACGTTTAATCGTGATATTATACCGAACACGATTAACTCAAAATGAGAATATACGCATAAATCATTCGTTTCATAAACAACAAATGAACGACGTCGTTGGCTATTCAATAGACATTCGTCAGTGGAGATGAAACGGGAAGGAGAGATTGATGATGGAAGAAAACAACAGCGTTACGTGTCTTTAGGTATTATGAACAAACGTTGATAGGTGAGGAATGGGGATAGAGACCAGCAATTTGCTTTTAAGTAATGTTCTTTATTTTTATATAAGATGATCATTGTTCTCAAAAAAAAAAGACCTAACACAACGCACAAATAAGACAAACAGACAACTGTAAATTGACTGTGGGCGATTTTTTTTGTGGCTTCCATACATCGAATACGCAAAGAACAATGAACAAGTATTATTTGTATAGGGGAAGGTTTTGATTGGAACCGATTGGTGTACCACTGTTTCTGATGGTAGTGAGCCAAAGCCAGGCTATCATTTGGATGCATCTAATTGTCTATCCACATTATCGTATAACATATAAATTATATATATATATATATATATATAATGACGCAAGACAACTTGCTGGAAGCTCTGAGCAATTCGATAGGATGGCGAATGATCAAATAAAATTTTAAGCTGAAAAAATCATTTGAACTAGCAAGCGATTCGGGAGGCAAAACAGCTTCACATATAGTTCTTTTCTGAACCAAAAGAGAGGAGAATGGTTCGTTCGATGAAAAGATCGGAGTGCTTCGATATTTTAGAGGTGCACAGTATTCTGATTAACTTGATAAGAACACAAAGATAAAACTACACAAAACGATAACCATTAAAAATTCTCGCATAAGATATCATCTCAAAGCGAACACGACAAGCGAAAAAAAAGAGCAGCTTAGATCGAGTATGAAAAGTTACAACAGGCTTATCATCATCGATCGATAAAAATCAACTGCTTCACGGTAATCAAACAAAACTTTCAATTAACTGATGGAAACATTGACCGATCAATCACATATTCATCTATCGGTCAATTCAAACTCGCTAGTAAATCCATTCAAATGCTGATTTGTATTCTAAAAAGAAGAACGAATATTTAATTAATGACACATCATCTATGACAATATAACGAAACTATTGCAACAAACTGCCTTTCTACTTGTTTCTGTTGAACATATCACATTTTCATGATGCATAACACTTAAAACTTCACTGATCTTATTTAAAAATAAGCTCATAAACGCTGAGCGCTGCGACAGATTTCTTTTACATTTTGCTTGTTAGTTTGGTTGTCCGAATATGTAGTATAAAATTGTGTTACACAGAGCCCCGTTTACCGTCCTTAATTCGTATCCGATATTTCAAATGAAATTTTCGTATCCGATATTTTAAAAATCGTCAGGGATCTCCATTCCTCGAAAATTCATCATATCAGATCACAAAATCAAAAGTGAATGGCAGCGCAAATTTTGCACTCGAATCTGCCCTTTCACTTTTAGATTGACTTGCGTTCACAGTGAATAACGCAATTTCCAACATTTGAATAATTATAGTTTCATTGCGTCTCAGAGCTTAAAAAAATCGTTCGTTATCAGAAGCAGTGAATAAAGGTTGACCATCTTTGCGAATTATTTTCAGTAGCCGGATCTAAGACCTGTACGACAGTTTTTCTTCGGATCCAGACTGCTCCGGGTTGGAGCCAAAGCGGAGCAGAGGAAAGTTCGGAATCTGAATGGGAGCCGGAGCCGAAGTTTAAAAATGTACGGGGATGGGAGTGGAGCCGAAATTTTTGAAAACAGAGCCGAAGCTGGAGCTGAAAACTGGAAAGTGTGAAGCTATAACCGCAGCTGAAGTTGAAATTTTAAAATTGTGGAGCCGAAATTTTGGAAAACGTAGAGTCGGGGCAGTGGCTGGGCCAAGACCGGTTAAAATGTGGAACAACCATGATGTGGAACAGCTCAGTAAAATAAAGGATATATGCACTGGCCAAGGGTCACCTAAACACTGAGCCTAATTGTAAGACTAGCCATACGACTCAACCTGCTCCTAAGGCTTTGGCTAAATCCACGAGTGAGTCTAAGTGAATGCCCGAGTATAAGCTTGAACTTGACTGTGAGAAGTAATTGAAGTGAGTAGACTTTGGCATTTGAAAGCGTGTTGTAAGTCGATGGATAAACTTTCTCCATGTTACATGAATGTTTGCAGTGAAAACTTGATAGCCTTCAGTGCTTTTCACTGTTCTGCCTTTCATAATCCTTTCCCCTAAACCCATTTTTTCATTTGATTTTGATCTCAC